GGTGTGCTGTGTGTGGGTGGGTGTGGGTGTGTAGTGTGTGTAGGGTGTGGTTGTTACTGTGTGTGGTGGTGTGTGTTGTACTGTGTGTGAGTGGGTGTGGTTTTACTGTGTGTAGGTGGTGTGGGGTGTGCTGTGTGTGGGTGGTGTGGGGTGTGCTGTGTGTGTGGGTGGTGTGGGGTGTGTGTGGGTGGGTGTGGGTGTGCTGGTGTGGGTGGGTGTGGGGTGTACTGTGTGTAGATGGTGTTGGGGTGTACTGTGTGTGGGTGGGTGTGGGGTGTACTGTGTGCAGGTGGGTGTGGGTGTGCTGTGTGTGTGGGTGGGTGTAAGGTGTGTGCAGTGTGTGGGTGTGGGTGTGGGGTGTGTGTGCTGGGTGGGTGTAGGGGTGTACTGTGTGTGCAGGTGGGTGTAGGGGTGTACTGTGTGTGTGGTGGGTGTGGGGTGTGCTGTGTGTGGGTGGTGTGGGGTGTGCTGTGTGTGGGTGGGTGTGGGGTGTGCCTGTGTGCAGGTGGGTGTAGGGTGTGCACTTGGGTCAGTCCGATGGATATTTACCCAAAGTGGCGTTTGAGAATACACCTCAACCACCGACCGTCAAATGGCTAAAACCACTCCAACTCTAAATGGGTTATTCCTCTAAAATCTTGTATTTAATGAGTTTAATTGGTTTAATTCTGTAAAAAATATTCCTAGATTGTAATTATGTAAGTTTTAATCAGCTATTCATCAGAAAACACTTCGTTGGTTTAGTATAGTTTAGTCAAAACATAATTGAGCAATAAAATTAGGTTTAATAATTGGTTTATTAGGGTAAAACACTAAAACACTCTTACTAAGTGTTCTCAATTTGCTTGTTTTAAAATGTTTTGGTTCAAGTTTAAAGAAATAATAGCATTGTGAAGAAGAAGAAAGAAGAAAGAAGAAGAAGAAGAAGAAGAAGAAGGGCAGTACTCGTGGTTAGGGTCATGTTACATCAAGTCCTACTGGCGTGATGGGTGTGTGTGTGTGTGTGTGTGTGTGTGTGTGTGTGTGTGTGTGTGTGTGTGGGCTCAGGTAGAAAGGAGCTTTGTCATGCAGGGAAGTAAAGATATACTTAAATACATATATTGTTGATATACTTATATACTTATTATATGGACTCATTTACATACATATACAACATGTGCACACACACACACACACACTAGATAAGCTCAGCTGTGATTGTTTTGTGCCTGAATAAACACAAACACACACACACACCTCACAACTAAGCTCAGTGCTGCAGCCCACGATGGCAGTGGGGACCCCTCAAGTGTCAGTACTATGCACGGCACCATTGGGCGCTCGATGTCTCTCAAGTTGCCAGCTGTCCTCAAGTGTGACCTCGATACAGTGTTCTTTAGACAGCGAAGGATACCTTGAGTTGGACCTTGGCCTTCAAGTACGACCTTATCGATATAGTGTTCTTTGAATCAGAAGGATAACTTTAAGTTATGTCTTAGACTTGATGGTCTGTATTGAGAGTCCTTCAGTGTGTTTGGATTATTAGACCTCAAGGACGACCTGAAGTTGTCCTCGACCTTCAGGCGTTACTCAGCTCTCGATTTCCTGTGGTTGAATTTCGGTCCTCAGTGCTAGTTGAATAAAATAATAGCACAACAATTTTGATTAATCTAACAGCAAAATAACCTAACCTAAACCTAACGGCCTCAGCAGTATAGCCATAAGGTGTCTTACTCTAAAGTGTAACTTGGGTTTAGGCCAAATTAACTAATGTCAATGACACTTGGTTGTCATCTCCTGTCAAGTACTGTACCTCCTTGTGATAAATTAACACCTGGTGACAAGTAAAACTTGGAATTTGGCCTCAAGTGTTACTAGACACTGTACTATTGTTCACCCTTTAGGAGACCTTAAAGTTGGACCTTAAGTCTCAAGTGTTACCCTGAACAAACTGATATTAGTGCTCCGAGGGCGACGTCATAAAAAGCCATGAGAACTACCTCAAGGTGTGGTTGTTGTCAGGTGTCAGTCTGTGTGTGTGTGTGTGTGTGGGGAAGACAATGTCACACACACACACACACACACACACACAGACACACAGAAACACATCACACACTAAAGCACACACACACACACACACACACACACACACACACACACACACACACACACACACTAGGGACTGCCTAGATAGTGATTCAGTTAAACATTCAAGAGTTTATTCAGGAGAGGGAGGAGGAGGAGGAGGAGGAGGGAGGAGGAGGATTCCAGAGTTCAGGACATGACCAGACATTCAAGGTACTTTCATACCAAGTAATCCATTGTGTGAACCTTTAACACCATATTAAGACATTCAGTTTTAGTCTGAGTCGCTGTACCTGGCCACCTATAGTGTGTTCCTGCAGGTGCCACCAGTGAAATTTCCGGTACTTCAAAGTGAAATCCATCAGTGTTCAAGGGTGTTTATAGTGTTCCACTAATACTCTCAGTGTTCAACGAGTGTTTCAAGGTAATTCATGAGTGTTCCAGGTGTTCCATGAGTGTTCAAAGGGTGTTCCAAGAGTGTTTCACGCGTGCTCAGTGTTCAAAATTAGCAGGAAAGTGATCCGTAGTGTTCAAGGGTGTTTCTATTAATTCACAGAATTACTCTACCAGTGTTCTTGAGTGTTCAAGGTATTCATAGTGTTCAAAGTGTTCTGGAAGTGTTCAGTGTTCAAGTGTTCATAGCGTGCTCAAAGGTGTTCACCAGTGTTTCGAGTGTTCGAGTTGCTCTAAAGGTGTTCCACAAGTGTTCTGAGTGTTCACGGGTATTCCTGTAATGGAGACAAAATCTCCACATGAAAAAGTAAGCTAGGGTTTATAGTGGTAGAAATGTGTAGTGGTGGTAGCGTGTCTCGAGTTGTGATGTCAACACCAACCCATATTAACACAGGCCACAGTACAAGTCTTAATTATATAAAACACCAATGCGTGTTAAACTTTATTTTATTCAGTTCAATGGCAGGATTAATGGGGTTCATACTGATTTATAGTAGACTATGGTATATTATAGCCCTAACCTCACAATTAGAATGGGCACTTCACTAAGTCGATCGTTGGGGAGGTTCAGGAGAT